AGATCTTGCAGGTGGTGAAACCAAGTTCGTTTTTATTCCCTCCACGAGTCCCTTACTGAGAGACAACACTGGTCATACCGTAGATATAGGCATGACAGTGCACTGTGCTTCATATGAAGTTCACCCTCTTGTTTTTCCTGGTTCATCTGATCACTGTTTTGTCGCTATCATCTACAAACTCCACGCCCACTACCTGTCATACCTTCTGGTGACTCTTTAGCTTCTACCCCTGTCAATGTTCCTCGGACGATCTCGCACACATTTTGCCGATATTCAAGAACGTTTGTGGTGACATGATTCACTCAATTTTTAAAGCTCCTTTCAGGCAACCCCTAAACGGTTTAGGAACGTATTTTCCTCCAGAGCTGAATATACGGAAGACGGTTCATACCGCGTCCTTCCTGTATAGCTGGAGTCGATGGGACTGAAGACATATTCACTTGGAAGAGGACAAGGAGAACGCACCAACTGAAAGTCCATAATTCTGGAGTCCGGAGTTTAGCTTTTCTTACTCCTCTTTCGCTCTCACTGGAAACCCAAAAACCTCCGAGCAAGATTTTCGGTTATCTATATGCAAACAGTATTCCTCTTACACTTCACAGCTCCTTACCTGTTTATCCAGCTTCAACAAGCCATTCTCCAAGACCCTTATTCATGACGAGCAATGTTCTGTCATGAATAGATACCCAGACATCAAGAACGATGCCAATCTTTATCCAACCATTTCCGAATCACTGCCACTCACCGGTTACACGAAGGCAGCTGTGGCACCAGTTCGGTTTCCAGCTGCCGTGCAACACGAAGGAATCACGAGGCTGCCTGAGCCTAGATAGGAACAATCGAAAATCCAGGATCGGATTACAGCCACGAACTTTTCAAACAGTAGTCTCGTACCTTGAACACTGAGTTACCTCAGCGATTGTGCACGAAAGCATCACTCTCCGCAGTTCCCCAAAAACCTTTGCCTTTTGATCGGACAAACTATTGATCTTTATTCCCCCTCGTTCGACCTCCTTAGTCTCATATGTACCAAGAACCTTTCCTGGTTTGGTTACGATGCCAATCTTTATCCAACCGTTCCCAATGCACTGCCACTCA